CACATCTTCTTTAACCATTCATCTCTTGATGGACACTTAGTCCCTTCTGGGACTCCCAAACTGTATATGTTGGTCCACTTCTTGGTGCTCCACAGACCTCTTAGGCTTTGTCCACTTTTCTTTAATCTTCTTTTTTTCTGTTCAAGTTCATCGATTCTTTGTTCTGCCTGTTCATATTTGCCTTCAAATCCCTTTAGTGTTTTTCATTTCAGTCATTGTACTTTCCAGCTCTGGAATTTGTTTTGTTTGTTTGTTTGGGTCTCTTATTGATATTTCCATTTTGTTTATACATTGATTACTTTCTCCACATCTTCCTTTAATTCTAGGAGCATCTTTTTTTTTAATTAAAAAAAATTAATTAGCTAATTAATTTTTGGCTGCATTGGGTCTGTTGCTGTGTGCGGCTTTCTTTAGTTGTGGTGAGCGGGGGCTACTCTTTGTTGTGGTACACGAGCTTCTAATTGCATTGGCTTCTCTTGTTGTGGAGCACGGGCTCTAGGCACACAGGCTTCAGTAATTGTGGCTTGTGGGCTCTAGATCACAGGCTCAGTAGTTGTGGTGCACTGGCTTAGTTGCTCCATGGCATGTGGGATCTTCCCGGACCAGGGCTCAAACCTGTGTCCCCTGCCTTGGCAGGCGGATTCTTAACCACTGCGCCACCAGGGAAGCCCCTCATTCTTGGAGCCTCTTTTAAGACGGTTGTTTTAAAGCCTTTGTCTAGTAGACCGGCCATCAGGTTTTTTTCAAGGACGTTTTCTATTTATTTTTTTCCTTTGAATGGGCCATACTTAATTGTTTCTTTGTTTACCTTGTGATTTCTTGTTGAAAACTGGACATTTGATCTAATAATGTTGTAACTCTGGAAATCAGATTTTCTTCCTTCCCCTAGGCTTGCTGATTTTTGTTTATTGTTTGCTATTTTTGTCTTGTAGGCTGTTTCTGTGCTACAGATCAGCTTGAGGTATAAACCCAAGGTCTTCTCAGGTCTTTTCTGAGTGTGCCTCTTTCCCTAGGCATGCACAGTCACTCTGATTTTTCCCATATATGCAGTTATTTTTGAATGTCCCAGCCTTTAGTGTCTGAACTGTAGGGAGGAAAAAAAAAAAGAAGGGTTGGGGGAAAAAAGGACACCAGCCCTTTAAATTCTAAAAGTCACTTCAGCTGGAGGGGGAGGTGCAACAACAATGGCTGCTGCCCCTTTGCTTGCACCTCTGATCAGAAGCTATAGTCAGTGATTAGAGCACAGATCCTTGATATTTGGAGGACAGGGTACTTTTTGCCCTCTCTAGCTTCCACAAG